TGGGTTGTACTCATACTCCCCAAAGATGCACCGGGCTGAAACAGGAGGGTTCCGGCAGTTCGACGCTCCGGGGGTTATTTTTGGGGTCTAAAACGTGTTTATTTTGCAGCGTTTCCTTAACTCCGCAACGCGTTCATTAGATCAGCCCAAATTGACCGGAGCACCGCCGGGATCCTTTCTGACGTGCTAAAGCATATTCTCCGGACATCGGTTGCAAAGTTATTGCACCTCAAAGGTCGACCACCAAGGCAGTGTAACTTATGTTAGGGGTTACCCTTCCTGTTTGGCGTGCTTGTCCTTCTGTTCTAGTTTTTTTTTTTACCCAATCGCCTGGCTTGACTCATGAGGCTCATTGCTCGCTAAAATCCCTACCCTCCTGTACCAATAGAGGTAGGGGCTCACCTGCCCTTGTCTTCACCCGTCGAGGAAGAACAAGCTGCGGTTACCCTAGGGTCGTATGGCTTTGACTGGTAGAACAGGTATTATTGTAACGGTCTGATAATAGCCCAGTTATAATTACCCCCCTCTCCGGTAGACTCGTCCCGAGTCCAACCTAGGGATTTTGGTATGGTACTATCGCGCATACAAAAAAAATGTAGCTCTATTAATGATCCTATACAAACTCTATTTCTATATCCATTTCTGTAGACAAAGGAAACCCTTTTTTAAAATGAAACGCCCATATTAACAAAGGAAAACCCGTATTCTCCACGTCTATCCTAGAACAGTCCGTCCTAGTAGTGGGGGTTTCGTTGTTAGCAAGAATCCCTTCTTCCCTTTTTACTTGGGGGGTTTCTTACGCCTCAGTTTCCTATTGTTTCCTGCACTGCTTCCCAGGGAAAACGGTATCCGAGCACTGTCAGACCGATGAAAACCTGGTACAGGAGAGTTAGCTTTTGTTCCCATGGTTCATTGGGATTACAGGGCTACTCACGCCATGCTTGAGGATCCTTAAAGTGTCACCCGTACATCCCGCGGTTTTCGGGGGTACCTCAGATGGAACTCTCGGAGTGCCTCGTCTGCAGTTCCTTGCAGCATCTCGTATGGTTCCCAGGAGTCTTCTGAACGATAGCCCTCCCAGATGATCCGATACTGCACGAACTTCTTCCCATGTCCAGCCTGTTGCCATCGGCTATCGGCTATTTCCTTGAGCACGTAACTGTCCTCTCCTTCGACCTCATCCAGAGGTGGAGGCGCGACAGCTCGTTGGGGGTCTTTCGGCTCCCGATAGGGTTCCATCAGAGATATGTGGAAGACATCATGAATGTTCCATTGAGAGGGCAGCTTCAGCCTGTAGGACGCGACACCAAGTTTTTCGACTACTTCAAACGGACCCAGTTTCTTATGGTCTAGCTTGTTTGAGGGCCGCTTAGTTATGATATTGCGTCTGTCCAGCATCACTTTATCCCCAGCTTTCAATTCCAGAGCCTTCATATGCTTTTGGTCATACCATTTCTTCTGCCGCGCTTGTGCTTTATGAATATCGGCCCTCATTGCTTCCCAAAGAGTCTTCCACTTAGATTCTAGTACGGCACTAGAAGCGTCGACATTGTCTAGCTTCCTCTTAGGCGAGGGCCAAGTGGAGTCTGGTTGGAACCCATAGTTCGCGTAGAACGGCGAGACTTTGGTTGACTCTTGAGTAGCCGTGTTATAGGCATATTCGGCAAGCGGGAGTAACCCTGCCCAATCGTCCTGCTGGTAAGAGCAGTAGTTTCTGAGGTACTGTTCGAGCGTCTGGTTGACCCTCTCAGTTTGCCCGTCAGTCTGAGGACGATATGCTGTGGACAGCCGGAGTTTAACCCCAAGGAGCTTCATCAGTGAATCCCAGAACTTGCTTTCGAACCTGGAGTCCCGGTCGGAGATGATCTCTTCGGGTAGTCCGTGTAGTCGCCATATTTCCCGAAGGAAGATATGTGCAAGCTCTTCGATAGTTGCTCTGGTCTTAAGCGGAATGAAGTGGGACATTTTGGTGAAGCGGTCAACAATAACCCAGATTCGGGTATAGCCCTCAGATTCAGGTAGGCTAACGATAAAGTCCATTGAAATGGAACTCCGAGGCGTATAAGGGACCTCTAAAGGCTGTAGCATCCCATACTTCTTATGCCTTGAAGCTTTATCGCGTTGACATGTATCGCAACTCCGCACGTATTCTTCCATGTCATCGTCCATTTTTGGCCAATAGAACAGTGCCCGGAGGCGTTCTGCGGTTTTGAATTGTCCAAAGTGACCAGCAATTTTCGAGTCATGTAGGGAGCTCAGGATTTTGAGCTTGAGTTCCCTATGGTTTGGGATGTACCACCTTTCTTTGTAAAAGACATCTCCGTCTTTTACCGTCAGGTCTCCGTTAACCAGCTTCCCGGAGGTATCCTCAATGGCTTTTCTCAAGGAAAGGTGCTCTGGGTCCGAGGCTGCATGAGCCCGGATTTCATCCAGAAGCACCGGAGTGAGTTTGCAGACTTGGGCTACTTTTGCCAATGCTGAGTTGATCATGATGATCGGGAGCTGGACTGAACCCATTACGAGTTGTCCCGGCTTAAACAGGCGAATTTCAGGGTCTTCATGAGTTTTACCCCCCTCTCCAAGTGCGTGGTCCCAACGCCGTGACAAGATGTCTGCTTTGGCGTTTAGTCTTCCAGGGCGGTAAACAACCCTGAAGTCAAACTCTGCGAGGTTGGCCGCCCATCGAGCTTATCTTGGCTTCAGCGCCCTTTTGCTGTCAAAGTAGGTCAAGTTTTGGTGGTCGGTGAAAACCGTGACCGTATCTTTGCAGGAACGCAGAAGATGACTCCACTCATTGAAGCATGAAACAATGGCACCTAACTCCTTGTCGTGAACGTCATAGTTTCGTTCCGCTTGTGACATCTTTTTGGAGTAAAAAGCTACTGGGTGCCATTTGTTATCATCAGGGTGGAATTGGGACAATATGCCAGACTTGGTGAAATTGGAGGCATCGGTCTCGACCTTGGTGCCTAGCTCAGAGTCAAAATGAGCTAATATGGGAGCAGATGAGAAGGCTTCCTTCAGGACTTCGAATGCACGCTCGCATTCCTCTGACCAGGTAAACTCAGTGTCCTTTTGGAGTAGGTCAGTCAAGGGTCGGCAGATCCGGCTGAAGCCTTCAATAAACCGGCGGTAGAAGTTTGCAAACCCAAGGAATGCTTGAACCCCCTTGATGTCTCTAGGCATTGGCCAACTTCTGACGGCCTCTACCTTCTCCTGAGACATAGTTATACCTTCATTGGAAATGAGATAGCCCAGGTACTCGACTTTCGCCACATGGAAGACGGACTTCTTTATGCTAACGCATAGTCCTTTCTCCTTCAGCCTTCCGAGTACCTTATTTACTAAGGCGACGTGCTCATCCATTGTTTCCGTATATATCAGGATGTCATCGACATAGGCGATGACACCTTCGTCGAGGAGGTCGTGTAGCACGTCATTAATCATTGCTTGGAATGTAGACGGTGCGTTGCACAACCCAAACGGCATAACAGTATACTCATACAGCCCGTATCTCGTTCTGAAGGCTGTCTTCCATTCGTCTCCTTCTCGCATCCGGAGAAGGTGGAACCCATTCTTGAGGTCGACCTTTGTGAAGATCTTGGCCCTTCCAAGCCGATCTCTCAACTCGTCCATCAATGGGAGAGGATACCGGTTTTTGACGGTTATCTTGTTCAGCCCTCGGTAGTCTACGCACAAGCGGAGACTACCATCAGATTTTGGCACTAACAAGATGGGAGCAGCAGCTGGAGAAGAGGAACGTCGGACACGACCAGATGCCGTTTCCCTATCTAGCCATTCCTTGATTGCCCTAAGTTCGGAGGCAGAAAAAGGATAGAGGGGCCCGAAGGGGGGCTTTGTTCCCTCTTCCAAGTCAATGGCATGGTCATATTTGCTATGTCTCGGGAGTGTGTCTATTCGCTCTTGGCTGCAAACCTCCGCGTGTTCCCTATATGGGGGAGGCAGCAGAAGCGACACATCTTCCCCGTTCTCATCATGGAACACAGCGGATCCAATCTGATAGAAGCTGTCAGGGTCCTCAGAAAGTAGTTCTTCCTCGGTTATCCACTGAATTCGGATTTCGGCGGGTAAGCAGTTCTTACGACAGTAAGTACTCCGCCATTTGAGAGTCCCTGATTCCCAGTCAATGTCGGGGTTATGCGTCTTCATCCATGATACCGGCAAATAGCCTAGGATACCATCCTGTAATGGACTTACTTCCCAAGCAAGTCCCTCCACGTGTTTTCCGATATCCATCTCTAAGGGTACCGTATAGAATTCCCCTGCTCCCGTTATTACTCGCCCGGAGGCGTCAAGTATAGGAGTGGGGTTTTTCCTCTGGTGGACTGATACCATTGCTTGACCGATTAGATTCTTGTTCAAGATCGGTCCGGTACACTCAGTATCGATAAGGAATTTCCCTGACAGCTGCCCGGTACGTTCCCTATGCTTCCACTTTAGCGAGGCTTCTATTTGGTAGCACTTGGAGTGTTTTGGCTCTTCCGAAACCAGTGGGGTTCCCACTCGTAGTCTTTTCATTGGTCCTTCAGTCATGGTTTCAAATTCTTCGGGTACTACTAAGATCTTCAGATCCTTTGGTTCTATTCCCGAATATGATTTTTGTGGTATAAGGTGCCTTATATTTGTCAGTCGGTGTCTTGTATATGTTTGGTACAGCACGAACTGGCCAGCAGTTTGGGGTTTTCAACCCATCCTCAGCGTGTGTGATAGAAAGACTTCAAAGATTTATTGCTTATAACAAAGAAAACTTTAATACAAATGAGCGTAATAAAGAAAAACCCATTGATTCTCCATTCCCATTTCCAAGAACGATAGCCAATTTCGTACTATACGGTTTTTTGCTCTGTAGGTAAAGGCAGGGTTTTTAGTCAGTCTCTCACCTTCTCAGTCAGGTTCGAGTGGGTTCTTTTGGCAGACTTACGAATGATTGAGGTTGTAGGCTTCCGCCTACCCTCATGCTTCTTTCGACTCGAGGATGCTTAGTAGACATCCACGTCGGCGTCTGACTCCGGTCCAGAGTCGACAATATTCATCGTCACCCCATCAAACGAAAGGGGTACGGCAGCAACGGAAGATTCGGGAGTTGGTTCCGCAGGTGCCGATAGGACGGCAACCCGCTTCTTACTCCCGTTATCCTCGAAGCCTCTTTTCCGCTTTGCCCCAACGATTTTTTTCTCCGGAGCACCGTCTCCTACCGGCTTTGTTGCTTGACAGAAGGTCCACCTATGACCACTGGCCCCACAACGAGTGCACAGGTTCCCCTCAAACCTCCTGGTTCTGAGGTCGGGGGATACGCCTGCCAAAGCGGTAGATTTGTCCTTAATGAAATCGAAGCGAGGCTTAGCCTTGCCCGAGTCATTGGACGACCTAGGAGTGGAGCCAGTAACCTTACGGTTTCCATTCCGTTCTCTCCCCTTCCCTTTGTCCCTATTCCGGGAGTCAGGTTTTGAAGGTTCCTTGGTAGTTGGAGCCTTCTCGCGGGCTTGCTCCAACTTATGAAGCTGCTCGAGCTTATGCCCTAGGGAACGGAGTCCAGCAAGCTAGTCCGTAATTTGTTTCGGCTGGTCAAGGACTTTTGCCCATTCCCTATACAAATCACGGTGGAGTGCGTTCAGGATATGATCCTTTATGCTAACCTCATCCGTGTATCCGGTCCTCATGACCAACTCGATCGACTTGTCGATAAATTCGTCGATCTTCCCCGGAACATGCTTGAGGGCCCGCCATTCCCCTACTGCCTTCTCCCGAGTCAGACTTCCCCCAAAACTAGAGGTTAGGCTGCTCAGGAAGTGCGGACATTGTCTCCAGGGAGTGTCTGGGTCGAAGGACAAACCAAGCCTCTTTGCTGCTTCCTGGTTGACGTGAGCATGAATGGTCTCGTACCACTTGGAGGCGCGATCTCTTAGGAGGCTTGAGGTGTAAGCGATCTTATCCATTTCGGTGCGGTAGTGGGCTTTATCCAGTTCAAAGACCCCTTCCAGCGCACGAACAAACCGGTCTAAGTCGTCGGGTTCCCCTTTGAACGGTTCCGGCGCTATTGACTTCTTCGGGGGCGGCCGCGATGATAAGGTAGTGGGGGTAGGAGCCAGGGCGGTCGACGATGGAGTGACCACTTCTTTCAGCATCCGGAAGAGTCTCCTGTCTCTTCTCTTCAGCCATCGTTTCCTGGCCTTCCGGTCATCCCAGTCGTCCGGCTCGTCGTCAGAAGAGTCTGAGCCACTGTCTCCTGGATCCGGTGCACCTGCTCTTCCCTTTCCTTTTGGCGGTCCTTTTCCTCCCCCATTCCCTCCGGCTCAGAACTCCACTTCTTCCTCCTCCTCGTCCACCCTCTGCCCTTCTCTCTCTTCTACTCGTTCCTCCGTAACTTCCCTCCCATGGTACTCTTCATACCCCGCTTCTTCTTCCGGCCTAGTAATATGGTGGAAGGGAGTTCCTTGATATGCTGCCACGGGTGTATTGAATGGATGGAGCGGTAGAGGCTCAGCTGGTCTTTCCGATGGCCTCAACTCGGGAGGTGTATCAATAGAGGTAACCAATGCCCTACGCTGTAGCGTCTCGGGGTAGGAGTACTTTCCCGTGATGTAGCTAAGCGAGTCGTCTTTTTCTTTTTGGGCGAAGGATCCCTTCTCCTACGAAGCTTCTTGACCTTATCTAAGGACCAAGCAAGGTTGCTTGAGATCCTTCTCCCCGTGAACCTATTCTCGCTAACTGCTGCCAGAATCGGAATCGAGAGTTGGGATGGTGGAGGCAAGATGGCTAACTTCGTGTATTCGAAGTCCATGGCTTGTGGTTGGCCGTTTTCTTCGGTCCCTACGGACCCTTCTTCTAACTGTCTTGCTAGCGTGTCTTCCAGCATCTGCACCCTTCGCTCTAGGTCTGTGTAAGCAAGCCCTTGTGCGAACCGGATTGCCTCATCACGTTCCTGGAAGTATGCCATCATGTGTTCCAGCTGATCGAGGTGTGCTTGGCCTTGCTCCCGAGGGATTTCTTGTACGAATTCGAAGATTGCCGCCATAGGGGCTGATTCCGCATTAGGAATCGACACATCCAGGTCGGTCATGAAATTGGAGGCATCTGGTACGAGTACTCTGACGACCCGGCCTGGATTATGGACAATGATTTCTTGGGAGATTGGGGCTTCTCGGTTCTTCCACTCGAGGAGCAACCTCGGCGGGGGCGTCTGAAGAGCAGCAGTAGATGATGACACCATTTCGACAGATAGGATTGTATAAATTCTTTTTTTTGAAGGTGAGGTTCTTTAAGCGAGGAGCTTAAAGTTATACTGTAATGGGGGTGCTATGATGGGGCACGACCGTGACTTCGATCAGATAGAAATAATAAAGAACGTGAACGAGTTATGATGGGATTCGTTCGACAGAAAGATAGAGTCCGTTTTATGTTGATCGTTGTTTTTGTTTGTCTAGAAACTTAATAACTTTAAGGGGTCTTCTCGCTAGTAAAGATCCGATGATTTTGAGAGGCCAACCTGGGGCATTACCGAGTTCTTTATAGAAGTTCGGTGCCCTTGTTCAGGTTCTTTGTTTCTGACGGCAAAACTGCCTGTCAATAGTCGGGGGCACAGCGACTATTTCCTATTAGGGGCGAGTAGAGTTGCTACCACACCTCGGACGAACTTCCGCCTGAGTCAAATCACGCAATCTCTGCCAAGAGCTGGTCGGGGTCCTAAGAACTAGCGGGAACAACCGACCAGACAGCAATTGCTTATTCAATTTGTTTTTAGAATAGATTTGGTGTTTTGTGAAGCGAGGTTTTGCTTTTAGTAGCTTGGGTTGTACTCATACTCCCCAAAGATGCACCGGGCTGAAACAGGAGGGTTCCGGCAGTTCGACGCTCCGGGGGTTATTTTTGGGGTCTAAAACGTGTTTATTTTGCAGCGTTTCCTTAACTCCGCAACGCGTTCATTAGATCAGCCCAAATTGACCGGAGCACCGCCAGGATCCTTTCTGACGTGCTAAAGCATATTCTCCGGACATCGGTTGCAAAGTTATTGCACCTCAAAGGTCGACCACCAAGGCAGTGTAACTTATGTTAGGGGTTACCCTTCCTGTTTGGCGTGCTTGTCCTTCTGTTCTAGTTTTTTTTTTTACCCAATCGCCTGGCTTGACTCATGAGGCTCATTGCTCGCTAAGATCCCTACCCTCCTGTACCAATAGAGGTAGGGGCTCACCTGCCCTTGTCTTCACCCGTCGATGAAGAACAAGCTGCGGTTACCCTAGGGTCGTATGGCTTTGACTGGTAGAACAGGTATTATTGTAACGGTCTGATAATAGCCCCGTTATAGTCCCAAATAGAACACCTCATTCTCTTGAGGCCCCACTGCCTCTCAAAACGCGACCTACAGTGGGGAATCTGTCTAAGTCATGGTGCTAGCCCTAAGCTCGCTAGCAAATGACGTCTGATTTTACATCTCGAGAATCCCCACCTGCTTACCTACTTGCCTGCCTGCCAACATTCCTCTCGATACCTACCTCAACACCTATCAACAGCGTCGACACCTACCTCTTAACAGTATCGATACCTACCCCCTATCAACATTGACATCTACCTTCTACCAGCAGAGATGCCTACCCCCTACCGCCTACCTGTCTGCCTGCCTACCTACCTCGACACCTACCTTGATGCCTACTTCCAACCAGCAGCGATGCCTACCTACTACCTGCAGCGATGCCTGAATGCGTATTTACCTAGCTGTATTTTGACGTCTGTACTGACACCACTACAAACTGCTAAATAGAAGCAAATCGACGTCCAAACCGACACCACATTGCATCAAATTCGCAGCAAATTGACGCCCAAATTGATACCCAAAACGACAACAAAATGTCCACTAATTGCACCAAGTCGACACTTAAATCAGCGTCAAATCTAGCCTCAAATCTACGCTCAAATCTAAGCTCAAATCTACACTCAAATCTATGACTGACAGTGAACGAAATAAACGTCAATTAAGCTCCTAATAGGTAAGTAGTTAAGCAAGCAGGTGCAGAGGTAGGCAGGTAAGCAGACAGGTTCGGAGGTAAGCAGTCGGGTATGGGGGTAGGCAGGTAGGTGCGGGGTACGTAGGCAGGCAGACAGGTAGGCAGGCAGGCAGTGCGTGGGGGTAGATAACCAGGCAGTCAAGCGCGGAGGTAGGTAGGGCGCTAGCAAATATGTACATAGAGAATTATATAGACAAATATATGAATATATGTGACTGGCCCGCGGAAATAATGTCCTAGTCGATGTACCTTTTGCCGGGTGATATCATTCTGCCAGCAAAAACTGCTAGCGAAACCTGTTAACCGGGCCAGAAATACTAGTGTTGAGACAGCGTTAGACTCCAAAAGACGAATTTGCTTCTGGACCTGTCGCAAGGACATCCTTTGGCAAAGAGGCGTACTGGCTCCGTTTCGGTACATGCCGGTATCAGTCTACAGGTAAGCGAAAGTATTGGGGCATCTGGGGTATTTGGGGCATCTCAGGCGTCCAGGTGCTCCAAGACGACATGTAATTTTTGCTGATGTAAACTCTATTTAATAGCAATATTTATCGCTATATCAGCAAAAATTACATGTCGTCTTGGAGCACCTGGACGCCTGAGATGCCCCAAATACCCCAGATGCCCCAATACTTTCGCTTACCTGTAGACTGATACCGGCATGTACCGAAACGGAGCCAGTACGCCTCTTTGCCAAAGGATGTCCTTGCGACAGGTCCAGAAGCAAATTCGTCTTTTGGAGTCTAACGCCGTCTCAACACTAGTATTTCTGGCCCGGTTAACAGGTTTCGCTAGCAGTTTTGCTGGCAGAATGATATCACCCGGCAAAAGGTACATCGACTAGGACATTATTTCCGTGGGCCAGTTACATATATTCCTCTATCTGTCTATATAATTCTCTATTTACATATTTGTTAGCGCCCTACCTACCTCCGCATCTGACTGTCTGTCTACCTACCTCCATATTTGACTGACTTCCTACGTACCTCCGCAAGCTGACTGTTTGCCTACCTACCTCCGCACACTGCCTGCCTGCCTGCACGCCTGTCTGCACGCCTGCCTGCCTACCCCGCACCTGGCTGCTTACCTACCTACCTATTTGGAGCTTAATTCACATTTATAAAGTGCACCGTCAGTCATCTATTTGAGCATAGATTTGAGCGTAGATTTGAGCGTAGATTTGCAGCTGATTTAGATATCGACTTGGTACAATTAGTCTACATTTGGTGTTGTTTTGGGCGTCAATTTGGGCGTCAATTTGGGAGTTAATTTGCTGCTATTTAGCAGTCTGTAGCGGTGTCAGTACAGGCGTCAAAATACAGATAGGTAACTATGTATACATGCATCGCTACAGTTAGGAGGTAGGTGTCGATACAGGTAAAAGGTAGGCGTCATGGTAGGCATCGCTGCAGGTGGGAGGTAGGCATCACTGAAGGTAAGAGGTAGATGTCAATGCTGGTAGGAGGTAGGAATCGCTGCTGGTAGGAGGTAGGCATCGCTGCTGGTAGCAGGTAGATTTCGATGCTGGTAGGAAGTAGATGTCGATTCTGATAGGAAATAAGTGTCGATGCTGGTAGGAAAGCAGCAAGTAGGTAGGTAGGCAGGTAGGTAGGCAGGTGGGGATCCTCGAGATATCAAACCTAACTTCATTTGCTAGCGAGCTAAGGGCTAGCGTCAGGATTTAGGCAGATTCGCCATGATGGGTTGCATTTTGGGAGGCGGTGGGGCGTTAAGAGGTGAGGTTTCATATTTGGGTTGCCTACTAGAAGTTAAAAGGCAAGAAGTCATATTTCGGACGGCTAATAGGCATTAAAAGCCACCCTATCACATTTGCTATGACTACTAGGCGACAAAAGATGATGTGTCACATTTTGGTGGCAGCGGGACAAGGTTTTGTGAGCAATAGACGAGGTTTTGGGTGTGGAAGACGAATTTGGACATCTGGGCGTCCGGATTCGTCCTGGCGAATCCCGTTTTTTGCTGATGTAGTACAGTATTGAATAGTAAAAAATTTAATTTTCCAAATCCCATTTAGTAATTTTTTCTTCCAAAAATTTCTTCAAACCCTCCTCTGAAAACTCCCCTGCCAGTCTCAAATTTCTCTCAATTTTAACCTTTGCTGTAAATTGAACCGATGCTCACTTTGCTTTCCTAAAATCCCTAGCTCTCCAATTGGCCGAATTAATTCTATACTGCTCTTTTTTTTCCTCAGCTACTCTAATTAGTTTAAATCAATAATGCAAATCAATATTATTAATTATACTTACCAGAAGGTTTTTTCCGCTCTCTAACATCGTTAAGAAAATCCCGGGCACTTTGGTGTTTAGGATCCTTAGAGGAAAAATGGAGAAGGTGTCTCCAAACTGCTCTGTGAGGATCAAACTGGTAACTGAAATCCCTATAACACACTGGGCAATTAATGAATTTTTTGCTAGTGCTTCTGACGGCTTCATAGTGGTGTTTTTCAGGAATTATAGGAACTGAAGATTTTAAAGATTTCTTTCTAATCCTTCCTGTAGCTGTATAGCCATAAGGGGCACTAATAAACTAAGAAGTATTTTGTTGGTCTGGCATTACTAGTAAAGAGGTATTGAGGGTTGATGGTAGGCGGATTGCTGATGGACAGGTACTACAGATGGTTGCTGGTGGTGGATTTTATAGCAGCAGATGAACCGCGACCTAATCCACACATCAACATGGTGTACCCCGACCTAATCCACACATAAAGGTTATGAACCGGCGTAAAATGGCAACCACCTCGCGTACCATGCCCTACCCACCTAACCCTTACCCACCCGGCTAACCCTTGCCCACCCGGCTAACCTTTGCCCACTTGGCGAACATTATTTTTCTTCCGAAGTTGACACACCCGCCCCCTATAGCTTCTCGCGCCATAGGTGTGTAAACTTCGGCGTTTTTTTAAAGAATCGGCCAATCAAACTTATAGGAGTTGGTCATAATGGTACTAGCGCCTAGACTAACCCTGGCATTTTCTCAGATTCCCATACAAACGAAATTCCTCTGAAGTTGACATACCCGCCCTCTAGGCCTACTCGCGCCATAGGTGTAGGCGCCCTACGCATCTCTCCCACTTGAGCTCGTTTTAAATCTTTATTCGGCGAAGAAGAAAAGGCCAATCGGGTTAAGCTCCCAACTTAGTACAAGCTCGAGCTTGTATAAATACATGTAATAATAATTCATGCCGCCAATGGTCCAGTTTGACTGCAGTCAACTGTGGTCGACTGTGCCAAGCCAGGGCGGTGGTCATTGACAGTCTGCATGGACTGCAGTCGACTGCGATTTTCCGGCCAAGCCAGCCCGTCCAAAGGGAGGACGGACTACCGGACTATGGACTGCATGAATTGCCTAAAGGAGCTTAGCAATATTGTTTACTATGACATTGTTCATGGTGATTAAATGAATCTCCATCCTTGTGAATCCCGAAGAGTATAATGTGGAACTATTTTGATATTGATTCAGTTCACTTTGACTGCGGTGTTACATATTGCCTGTGAGCTCAAGTTGAGACCGCCTCAACATAGCAAGAACGTGACTTAGGTAACACTCCAACCCAACCCTGAAATAAGCTCCATGTAATCCATGATCAGACCGTAGGCAGACTGTGGACTAGTGCAAGATAAGTAGACTGCACATCTGGTCACGATTCAGTCTTGTCTAGCCCGAGACTGGACGGCTGGGTGCAGCGCCCGAGCCTTGATCCACATTCGTAACAAAGTATTTCCGTCAAACAGGAGCCCTTATTCCCTCATTTTTAACAGCTCCGTGATGTGTGGCCTTTCTAACTGTTTTTCTCGATTTCCATAATGCGTCTAATCGATTACTCCGCTGAGAGCATCATGTTTGAGCCGGTAATGTCGAATCTAACGAGTGTCGCCGGGAGAGCGGTGGTTTATGTATAATGCAGTGGTGGATGTTGTGTTTCTTCTCGCTTGGCGGTTCCCTGTTTCCGGGTCCAGGGCGGGCGACCTCGCGGGATTCTATGGGAAGGGATATATGGTTGGTGGGGATGTGGTAGTCCTCGTAGCGATAGCTATGGTTCGAGAATCGATCGCGCACCGGTGCAGAATCCAACCTACTCAGTGTCAGAAGCCTCTCACAAATACATCCAGAACCACACCGCACACCCAACACCCACAACCCCACGCCAAGACACCACCACACGTGATCTCTACGAGTGATGCCTCATGACTCACCGAGTGACAGTTTATGATGCCAGCTCCGCTGCAGAGAAGGCCGCACATCCCCACTCGGGATTGTCGTAATCCTACTCGTGGTGTTACTCTGTGTCTGCTGTTTTCGGGGGAGTAGATTTCCATCCGGCGACGGGGAGTCGGCGGCGTTGGTCGGGTCCGCACAAACACGCCGCAGCAACCACTGCGTGGGGCCCGCGGCACACACCGCGTGTCTCACTCCCCGGCCAGCACGCGGTGGAAGCACGCCGCAGAATGATGCAGAAGCGGCGAGTGACGGGTTGCGAACGAGTGAGACTGTATGACCGGCGTTGTCGCGGGGTTGGAGTGCTGGAGGACTAGAGGGCTGGAGTGCTAGTGCGGTGGGTGAGTGGATGAGGGCGGGCGGTGGGGTTGGTAGCGGGAGGTTATCAATGCCAATGGACATGGGTTTTTTATTGTGAGTGTGCGGGGTGCGGTGTGGGGGTTACCCGGACCCGACTAGTGTATCAGTCGCCGCGCCGACCGCACCTACCTCTTGCCCACCTTTGTCTTAAGCACGTGCACATGCAAGATTAACCCGCTTATACCACCGCAGCAACCCCCAAGTCCTCAGCGCTCCACAGCACAAAGAAACCTTCCGCAAACGCGCCGGGCACAAAGCAACGCCCCGCACCACCACATGCAACCTACAACCGATCTCCGCATACCCGCATCTCCGCCGCCATGCACCGGAACACACAGTGGCACAAACACCCAATTGCCAGCAGACAGCGCCGAGTAGCCGGACACCAATCCACAGCAACCGCAGCACCGAACGAAGCAGCGCAACAGCAGCAGTACAGCCCACCCGGTGGGTACAGCGGATAGGCGGGGATCGACAGTCCACCACTGCGCCCTTCTGTAATCATATCTACGGCCACCCGACACTGCCTTCAAGTCCGCTGCTCTATACCTATCTCCGTACGCGACTCCTATATAACCCGCGATCGCCATTCAAATGGGTCCATGGAAGATAGCTCACCGGTGCAGTTGTACGGCGGCGGTGGGAGAAGACTCCGCTGTCGACAGGCGCTCATCCGGTGGGGTGCTGCAGGTTTATTAGGGCTAATATTCCCGCACCGTACCGCACCATCATGCCCGCGCTACCCGAAACTTCCGCAAACTCACCAGCATAGACGCGGACTGTCGAGTGATAGCCTATGACCGTATATCGCAGTCCACTGCGACAAGGGGCTGCTGCGGGGATTCCGTATGACCGAGAAGGGGCCTCTATACCAAGCCTCGCGCGATCAATATCCCTAGCTTCGGTAGAACACAGCCTGTCGCTCAGTGGGTAGTATCAATCCTGGCGTCTTGATAGTTTGTGGATTTTTGGAAAGTTACGGGGTGGTGTAGTGTATGCGAGTGATAGCGCATGATTGTGTATTGAAGCCTGCCGTCAGAAAAGGATACTTCAGAGTGAGGGATAAGAGTTATGCAGCAGCGATGTAGACCACAATATCCCCCCCCCCCCCCAAAACTCCCGGCACCTCCGCCGGCGGAAAGGAAAGAAATATTGACACCCCGACTCACCTATAGGTACGGGATCAGAGTGCTTTCGTGCCTGGGCGCATCAGGGTATGAAGGAAGAGCCTAGATAGAGATGTAGTGTTTTAGACTATAATCTATATGCTTACATGTACGTATCCTGGGCTTCACAGATTTCTGTTTTAATTCAGATCATGCGGGAATAATACGAGCACACTGCAGTTCAATCCATCTAACCCCAACATAGATGTTGTTTCGCACATTGCCCAAGATTCTACCTCTGGCACTAGGGAGCTTATAGCGGTTTGAATTGCTATACAATATATTATCATTGACCATGTATGACAACTCCCCTTAAGCCGCCAAGCTAAATTAAAATCAAGAAAAAAAATCTTTAGAATATCCTACCACTTAACAAAACTGCATCACGCACGCAATCTACCCTACCTCCTAACCATGACACGAGCAAAAGTAGCCCCCATATGGTATGTTGCCGCAGTGTTTATGCCAAGGCGTAGGGTATATAGGTATTCTAAACGCTCGATCTCCCTAAAAGCAACGGCACTCTAACCCTTCTTGATTTACTGTAATCGTGATGAAATCCACTCCTATAGTGTGGGATTGTACCGGCCAACCGCATTCATTGGAATTAATTCCGTGCAAATCTCCGCACTTCGATTCTTATACATATACCACGGTTACGATCGGCATAGAGGGTTTGAGTGTTGATTTTGACTTGGTCTGGCATGACAGCCTAAGGAATAACGTGCACATGTGCGCCTCTCCGTGATTGTTAAAACTACTGGGCTGTGTCAGTGTCAGTTTGTTATAGTTATTTGTAAATCCCTATCATATTCGTCGTCATATCCGCCCTGGTCCGTGGTGTTGAGACTGTCGATATGTATAAAAATAAGAAACTCCAATGTCGATCTCCAAGTACGTTTCGACTGGCAAGAATTCAGGATATATATGCCCCTCGCCACTTCCAGTACACACGAGGGTCAAATTTAGATGAGAGATCTATTATCTGATTAGAGAGATAACGTGATCTGTTAACAAAGTTAATACACCAAATTGCTTTTTAGGCGCATTTCTTTTGATAGTCAGTCTGACTGTACATCCGGCCAGTTTGAAATGCTTGGAATACACGCCTAATTAAACCATGGCCCCCTGAGCTGCGTTGACTCCTAAATAACACGCACTCAAGCATCTACGTTCCTACAGCCCCAATTGATCGAACCAGCAAAATTTAAAAATCAAAATGCCACCGCGTCGAAAGCGTCAGCGTGATGACCAAGAGCCCTGTTCCGTACCAGCAACGACGTGAGTCCCGCGTTTCCTAGATCTCTGACACACAATCACAACACTGACAATTAATCCCGAGACAGAGACACAGTAATCCTCAAACAGATCAAGGTCTACTTCCCGGACCACAGTATGCCCTTCATCGTACCCTACGTACTCAACGACGAGCGCGAGCGCTCTGTCGGGGCGGTACACTCCCCCCCCCCCCCCACCCCGGGCGGCCCCGGTCCCTTCCCGCTAGATCTCTGTGCCACTAACTTGCGATCGACGTACATGAATGTAGCAAGTCCAGTCGAGTATCGGCAGCATTGCGCAAGGGATAAAAGATGGCCTCGTGGACTGGTTTTTGGTCCCCGCGCTCCTACCCCCAGATAATGTGGAGATCGAACTGATCCATCGATGGTCCTTGGATCTATTATCGGACACGCTTATTAAGCCAGATGGGGCTTATTTGGTGTTCTGGACGCCGGATTCGTGGAATGTGAAGGAGCTGGTGAAGAAGGGCTTGGAACTCATTAATTCGCGATCGGAGTGAGATTTGTTTGGATTTGGATATATGGTGGGGTATCCCTTCGTCTGGCAAAAAAATGCTGCCCACCCAAAATGAAAAGCAAATTTTATGTGTAGCTTTACTAACAGGTCCCGTTATCTCTGTTATCAAATAATAGATCTCCCATACAAATGTAATTCCTGTCTTATAAGATGGCCAGCATTGCCAGACGAAGGGATAAGGTGTCGTGGTAGTACTGTATGCGAGGAGTGAGACCGCGGGGCGTTAATGATAGCAGCTGTTATAATTTTCAAGGTTTGTGGTACAGGAAGTACTGATATAAATGTAGTGATAAGTACATGTAATGTCGTGTTCATTGCCATAACTGTAAAGTTACATGCAATTAATAAATTAAACAAAAAAAAAAAAAAAAATAATGTCGTGTTCGTTCCAAAGATTCTATCCGGCAGGTGGGGTCGAGTGGTTCTGATAACCCTGTAAAACGCTAAGGCGTAGTTTATTGTAAACGACGGAGCCTACGTATACATATCGTTAACCATTCAAAAAATTCCACAATAATAAAGACAAATAATATATCGACATCTCACTTTTATATGCTTTCGAAATTTCTTTAATGCTGTCCCTATGGCCTGATCAATAGATACTCCTCATACATATACGCAACGCGAGTCCGATCCCCACAAATTAGCACCAACATAACATTAACACTTAACAATGGCAATCCAATCGCCATGTTGATGTCGATCTCGTTGTGTAGGTTCAGTTTCTTGCGCGAGAGAGCGACGATATAAGCTCTACTGGACGTCTGCGCTGCATGTACACAGACACCTAAGCCCAGTACAATAAGAGTGAGAAACCATGAATTGAAGCTCAACTCACCGCCAAGAATCCAATCAATCATCGGCTATATGCACCCTCGTGATCCCCATCGCCCATTACTAGGGCCCAATATATCGGCCCCCGTCCCATGGTACTAGCCTACTCGAAGACTACGGGTTCTGGCACCGGCACCTTATCCGAGAAAACCCTACTCCATTACTGCCTGTATTTTCTTCTAGTTGAAACGAGATCGATGCTCAACAATACTAATCGGCAAAAAAGAACTTTTTGATTGTGATCCTTGACAGGCATTTAATAACCCCCGGCCCCTCCCTATTGGGCCCGCTTTCCGAGCCGAGCGTGGTATTTGAGGTATTGATATTGATTGTTTTCGTGCCGGCCGTAGTGTTGGCTCTCCGACAAACCCCTTGTCTTCTCTAGATCTCCACCCTCCTGGCGCCTGCTTTGGGCGATTTTTCCCGGTTAATATATATACATAGGCACTCGCCAACCGACCTTCTCCTCATCCCCACAACGATTTGACCATTCAACGGCTCCGAAAGAAGAGGAGAGAAATAGATTAAATGTTGAAGAGCTTAGTCAGATCAAGCACCTGATTCCCAAGTGCGAAAGACCGGCATAGCGGGTATAGCTGTTCTCCACTTCCCCTTCCCCCCAGAGAAAAAAGGTCGATACGTGCACACACAGTATAAATAAACAATCAGACACAGCATAGAGAATCTCAGTGCTTGTGGTAAACCGACTCCTAGTTACCACCATGATCCAGCCCAATAAATCAGGGCGGTAATATACTTCACTTGCATTTATAGCGCGCGCAGTTTTATATTGAAGCGGGTGTTTGGGAACGAACATTCTGGGCTCAAGGTTATGATGTAGGCACATGGTTGGAGTACCAGTCCGGAAGATTATGTTGGGCATAGAGTATATCAGGCTACGTAGTGCAGGGAATACCGACTAGGGGGTGCTAGCTGATTCGCATTCTAACGCATGCATGTTCCCTGCCGCCGGATATTTATTTATTTAGGTTTTATTACTGATGTAGCCGAGCTGATCCTTTTGTTGTGTAGATTACAGATTTTCCTTTGACGTGATTGACGTTCTATTAGCCGGTAGAAAAAATCATATGATAGCACGAGGGGAAAAATACTTCAAGTTGAGAACCTCGGGCAGGTTTTAGACGGTCAGAGTAAGCTATTTTTTCTTTCTGATAGCTGCACGGTGCATCTTTTACTTTTACCCCGCAATCCAGTTGTCACTAGAGTCAATAATAAATTAATTCCCGTCGTACATAAGCCCATGCATAGCACGGATTTGGTGATGCCAAGGTCATCATCATACAGTAGCTACGGACTGAGATAGGAAGGTTGTCATTCTTGACATCTCCGGAAGTATGATAGCCGTTTGTAGGGACACATTACAGGGTCGTGATCATGCTCTTGTATCTCCTTGCAGTCCTTAAAGGGGGCATGAAGTTAAAATGGATGATGTTACTATAGGTACGTTAGCACTCGACGAACCAGAGTTGGAAGAGATCAAGAGATATTCTATGATCACATGAAATTGAGTTTGTTTTGACGCACTTGGCATAATATCAAGAAACGGATGAAAGGGAAGAAAATCATCATATGACGCCGAGAAATTTAAAGACAGTTAGTAGTACTGAGTAGAGTGACACAGAGGTGGGTTTACCCAGTTTTCCAAGACACATCTCTAAAGGCTGATAGAGTTTGGGCTCATCCTCCGCTTACAAACAACGCTCCCACATATGCCAGGGAGAGAAATTTCGACGTGGACTTGGGAATAATTGAGTGAAATCTCATACTAATTGCACAAATAACAATAACTATTGTAGAATCATGAGGTATCATTCGATGCATAGCCAACTAACTAGATACATATCTGTAACTGAACTAACCACCGACATCCGCTACCAACGGCTGTGGCGTTTCAAGCTTCTCGACACGACTTTCCTACAACAAAGCACGCACTAACCTCCAAATTTGATCCGCCTCGTATTCCCAGGATCGGCCACAAGTGCGAGAATTCCATGAACCCACAATCCTGCATATGCCAACATCCACAAGGTAAGGTTCTCCTCACAGTACAACAGTAGCACAAAATCCACCCCATTTGTATTAATATAAAACTCTGCGTTCGGACGCCCGCCCTAGCTAGCAGCCTGGAGGTTTAGCTGTCAGATAAACAAACAAAACTCTATCTACCCACGCCCCTCGGTCCGGAAACACGCCCCGTTCTTTTCTGCACTCGGCCTTCATAAAAGCGAGATGATGGCTCGTAGCGTTTTGTTTACAATAGAGAACCAGCAACATGATATGGACTGCAATATATGCGGGGTAGCATACGACGATAAGCATGAGATGACATGGGAATATGGACCACTGACCACCGAGCAGCTACTCTAGCTAGCCAGTTGAGTAAAGGATGAACAGGAGGATAGGGATGGGAAGAATATTGTTGGTTGGCTCCATTGTCTATAAAACGACGGGATATCGCAACCAAGGTTTTGCCCTCTAGACAGCACAATAGCTTACTCTTTGGCAAACGGATCGAACACCTACAATGTTTCGTATCAGAACATTTTTCCTGTTGTTTTTGACCACGCAGATTCTTGGCGCACTCGGTGCCTTGACATGGAAGACTTTTGATATCTCGTCCCTTTTGGTGGAGGAAGCTGCAAACGTCAAGTACCAGGATGTCAACGGAAACACCAAGAACCTTGAGGTAATTCTCAAGGAGAACGGCGCAAACAACATCAAAATCCGAATGTGAGTTTTTCTCTCTCTCAACCATGCTGCTATTTCTATTGGAGATGAGCTTATGGTTTTGTGGTGCATTAGTTGGGTCAACCCCTCGGACGGAATTTACAACCTGGACTATGCAGTCAAGCTTGGGTTGAGGGCAAAGGCTGCGGGCTTGTCTGTTACTTTGAACTTGCACTACTCCGATACCTGGGCGGATCCAGGACACCAGACCACCCCCAGCGCGTGGTCGAGTTACACTATCACTCAGGTACCAATCATATACCCCCCCGCAAATCCAAACATAACCGGGCTATCAATGATACTAACAAACCTTCTCGTAGCTCGCCGCAGCCGTGAAATCCTATACCACTAACGTTCTCAACACATTCGCATCCGTAAGTCTCATCACCTAAATCCGCAACAACCTCTAAAACCGCAGCGCTAACTCCCCCCAGAACGGAATCAATGTCAACCTCATCTCCATTGGCAATGAGATTCGCGCCGGTCTTCTCTGGCCTCTCGGTTCTTACACCAACTTCGCCAACATCGGCACGCTGCTTACCGCCGGTGCCCAAGGTGTCCGCGCCTCCAGCCTCAGCTCCGCCCTCATTATGATCCATCTCGATGAGGGTTATTCATGGGATACACAGAAGTGGTTCTACGATTCCCTTGCGGCCTCCGGAACCTTCAGCATGAGCTCTTTCGACGTCCAGGGTGTCTCGTACTACCCGTTCTGGTCCACCTCCAGTACCATTGCGAACTTCCAGACGGCAGTTAACAACATGGCTAATACGTACGGAAAGAAGATCATTGTTATGGAGACGGACTACCCTGTGGCATGCTCAACGACAACGAACTTCCCACCCTCGTTGTTGTCAGCGTATCCGTTCTCGGCGGCAGGGCAGGTCTCATGGGTTAAGGCGATTGCGACGGTTGTCAAGGCGATCCCGAATAGTCTCGGGGTCGGTGTTATGTACTGGGAACCCGGCTGGATCGATAATGCTGTAAGTTTACCAGAATCTTTGCGTCATGGTTTTTAGGAATAGTGCTAATTCCGAGAAGAGTTTGGGAAGCTCATGTAGTGATAATGTTTTGTTTACTGGTGACTGGAGCGGGTATCCAAGCACAGTTATTGCGAAGGCGAGATCGTAAGTTACACTCCTCATAATTCCAGACAGTGATAAGTATAGACAGAGTTCTAACGTATTTGGTTTATAGGAGCGTCAACATGATGTCACAGATCTAAGAAGACTCTGGTAAATAGCATATCATGGCGGCAGTCCATGTTAATAGATTATTATAGTACCAGAGTAGTCAAATTGCAAAATAAATAAATAGGTTAGGGTTTATATTGGCACGATTGTGATCGATTTACGCGTGAAATTATCTAGAGATTATGATTTGCTCAAGCTCAGAAATAACCCGCATAATTCACGACGAGACACTCATTTTTGTTCGTTTTTTGACTCACTTGATATTCGAAGTCCCAGCCAGTAATTCGTCATGCAGAAATCTATACTTGCACCCTCATCTTCTTTCGGTTCAATACCCTTAATAATCCTAACCTATTTAGGTCACTCTTATTGATAAAGAAAAATCTAAGCCTATTCTATTTGGTTAAGGAATACTTTCAATATATATCCAGTAGCTAGAATTTTGATGACTTTAACCACCCTCCCACAAAGGCCTTAAAGTCAATAGCTATGGAATGCCAAACCAGAAATCCTCGAAACTATCTTCCTTGCATATCATAGGCATACCTGAACAGTGTATTGAGGGTGCTCTCCGTGCTGCCAAGACTATCAATAGGGTTAGGGGAGTGACTGCACCAATCATTTTCGAGTGAGATTTCATGACCGCAGCGAGCCTTTTTACTTTATTTTGTTTAATCCATTAATCCGCAGCGAGCCTTATGTAAAAGTCCGCTTCCGAGTACCGCAGTATGTCGGCCCATAGCGTTCTCTCTAAGTCTCTAGATAATCAACGGCGCCGACAAGTCAAGTCGAGTACACTGAGGCCGGCACCCTGGTGGGCACGAGTGAGATGAAGTAGGAGGATATATGTTGAATTCAACGTCTTAGCGACCGTGTATTGAGTCACTCAATCACGTATTTACGTATATCTGGCCCCTCTTAACTCTAAAATAAGCCTCCACACTGGCATCAAATACCTCTGCCATGAGCAGAACGTCCATGAATTCCGGAATTCAAACACAATCCTCTGCACCGTAGCTTTTACTTCCAGCGCACGAATATATCATAGCTATCAATCCCGCTCTCTCCGGGTTTGGCCAGTTAAATCTCTGGTAATCTTGAACTTATTGGCCGCAGGGTTCTTCTTTATCCTATACCTGACTGAAGCTTTTCCGTTGACAAGCCTTTCCGCCAATAAACGTACGTACTTACCCAAAGACTATAATCATACCAAAAAATTTATAATCCATACCAATACCACTGCTATTATCGCAAATTACACTCCCGTTCACTCGAAATAATATTAGACCTGGTATTTTGTTACGATGTCAATAGGACCCATTCACTCGGGGGTGATCCATTCCCGAATATTCGGTAACTTGCTTTCGACCGACTCAGATGGTTTTCAGAAGTGAAGGGTGACACAGTCCTTAGCCTGGGCTGATTGATTGATTGATTTGATAATTGATTGTTTGTTTGCAGCCCGGAGGATATGACAGTTGCTAGCCCGGGCTGATCTTCTGTGAGATTCTCGTTTTCATAAAAACACACCCATCCATACAAGTAGGTCTTTATAAACCCCGAATTCTAAAAGTAATGGTGGCATGAACTTCTGGATGACTCTGGGGGGTGCGATCTAGACTGGTTCATCAATATGATTTTTCTAGTGAATTCCAGTCCTTCTTTCCTTCTGGCAGTTAGTATTCACCAATACACACCCGTCTATCCACTTATCGTTCTTACCCAGAAACCTTGAACGTATGTATCGTGTGTTACCAAAATTACAAGTATGAAGGAGACTTTGATATGTGATATAACACGCGCTTTCCCAATAAACATCGACAAAATGCCGCCGCACTCCTCTGTACGATATTGCGCATGCACTTTCTTGTGATTTGAGAACTCTTGTGATTTCCTGAGTGAATCCCAAGTAGCTCGGGCTGGCTGGGTCTACGCCCGACCACCCCGGATCTCACGATATATAAGATGGAATCATGGTACCACGGGCAAAGAAGGGCGCAAGTATGACTGTCAATGTCTTCGACAACAATAACCGTTAGAAAAGCCTTCACTGCAAGATCATTGAATCGCACTCGTTCATAGGGTATCACTTGCCTATATCTCAACTACGACAAAACCCATAATCTGGATGATGTAGACGTGTTCGTTCATAGAATGTTGAAAACTGGGCATCCCGTCCGCTCTGCCATACATAAACAATGTGTGTCGATATGAAGCATCGATCCGGTAATGCCTGATACATTTTGGAGCCAGAATATGTTCCCACACACCCCCGATATAATGGATCTAGACCTATATTTCTTCAAAATATTATTAACGATCCAACAAACTACCCCCTGTATCAACAATCGGAACCGACAAATGATAACAGTCGGAACCGACAGATGATAACAGTCGGAACCGACTAGCGTGGTCCGTACTAACTAGCGGACCACAAAGCAAGCACCACGCCTCCATACTAACTAGCGGACCACGAAGCAAGCACCCGCCGCAAGAGTCCGCCTTGGAACACTGTAGAGTGTGAAATTCGACGGGTTAGCACCCCTGGAGGCGAATCTTCCCAAAGTAATTATAAAAAATGTAACACAGTAAATAAACTACTTGTGACAATATTAGTTTTGGGGGCCTAGCCTTGAAGCTGTATAAATTAGAAATCATTTCCCCTAGGCCTCCACGATACACTTTCCAGCTCCTCACTACACTTTCCAGCTCCTCACTACACTTTCCAGCTCCTCACTACACCTTCCAGCTCCTAACCCATCCTACCCGAAATGCCCAAGTCCAAAGAAATGCCCAAGTTCAAAGAAAGCATTATGACTTTCGATTTGTCTCAACCAAATCTGCCGAGTAAACATCGTTATCTGAAAAGAACTCCAGACCAATGGAAAAGCTTGCAGCTTCAGAATGAGCTAGCGCCACCAGTAGCAACACCAAAAGCTGATGCCACCAGGAAGGAGATGGAAAGATATCGAAAAAGTTGGATCAAGTAAGTAATATTCTGGTCGAGTGGTAAAGTTACATCCATTGTACTAACATATACACAAGATTTCATGAGGAGGAACTTCACAAGGACCCAGCTTTCGAGAAGATAACGAAATCTTCAGATATAACTCCATGGCTTCATTACAGAGAATCAGGCCGTGATGTAGAGCAATCCGCTCAGAGTACAATCATAACGAGATTTGGTTATATCGGAATGCTCTATTCGGAGGCTACCGGTGGAGAGGGACTCTCCAAAAAGATATGCAGAGAGGTTAATGCTGTCCGTCTACCACACTCTAGTTCTCTATCTAAATAATTCTATGGGTACTGATACTATATACTACGCAGTATATAAAAACAACGATGACAAATGCTTGTAATCTCAAGGTCGGAGGAAAGGAAAAGCCAGTAGTCACAGCAATTTGTTTTATTCGACTCATCGAGGGCCTTTGGAAGTGCCATAATCACCTGCCTAGTCGAAAGATGGTCCAATTTTTGTTCAATATGAAACTCATGGCATACACGGCTGCTAGGCCTGGCTCTTTGGTAGCAACACAGGCTTATGATAACGAGGCACTCCTATACAAGGTATAACACTGCCTAAATACCGGGAATCATCATTTGCTAACCTTTCTTAGGAGGTCAAATTGATTCTTGTTCCATGTCAATCCACGGAGGAGCCAGTAATGGCACTCGAGATAAAGTTATACCGAATGAAAGGCAAAAGAAAGGCCAATGAACCGTAAGTTCTTCACTCTTTGAAGTATTTCTCAGCTAACACGAGTCCGAGAATAACCTTTATCCTCCACGAGATTCGGGACAAGCCGCTTATTTGCCCTATTTTCGATTTTCTTACCATTGCCTTTCTCGACCACGCTTTTAAAGATTTGCAATGCCCTGCAGATTTATATAAGCTCCGAGTTCCGGAGGGGCTTGATAGCTTGCATATTCCATTTCGAAATGATATCTTAGAGGTTCCGATATGTCGTGGGAGCGGTGGTGCACCCATGACTTATCACTCATTGGATTTCCAGGTGAAGCGTGCAGGAATAGGCGCAGGGTTTCAGAAAACACCGGGCTGCTATTGGTTGAGAAGAGGGGCTGCAAATGCTTTGAACGGAACAGTCACAGGCCCGGAATTACGGTTGATCATGGGGCACAGCACTGAAGCGGTATTCAACAGACGTTACCTCAGTCGTACAATTCGGGCCGATACACAGTCCGCTTTTCTTGGGAATACGCCGGCAGATGAAACCTTTCAACTTCTCAAGCGTATTGAGAGAAACCCTTTGGCACCGCTAGAGCTCACACCTGAACGCAGAGAGAAAGTACTGAAAGACCCTGGGCTGCTTCACATGCAAAGTGAACTGAAAAGGATTAAGGAAGAACTTACTGAAAAGGATAAACATGTTATTGGGAGGACAAAATTGTTCGATGTTCGTGACGACTTGACTTATATAACCCTCTATCATGAGGTAGAGGCCACCAAACGCCGTCTTCTGAGGGAGGCGTTTGAACAACAGAGGAAGGAGTTTTTCCAAATTGCCAGCAGCAATGAAATACGTCACCAACTCGAATCGAACGGAACATTGAACAACAGCGTGGCATCTCCCAGAGAATACGATTCGGCAGAACAAGAGAAGGTTATGGAAGGTGTCTACAGTTGTTCCTCAAGCTCTTACCCCCGCCCGGAAATCCTAAACGATTTGGTTCAGTTTTGTATAAATGATAATAGAGCATCGAAGGAGAACCCTACGATAAACCTTGTGGCTCCCCCGGAACCGAAAGCTGTAGGCTTGGGTGATATTGGAATGGCCGATATACCGATTGACCCAAGACTACTGGACGATATATCCACTGACCCAAGTCTCATTACGTCCACTAAACCGATCGGATCTTCGAAAGCCAAGCACGCGATTTCCAAAAACTGTCCTTTTTGCGAGGGAAAAAAAGCGGAGGTTCCTTTTTCCTCGCCCAGTAATCTTAGAAAACATGTGAGGAACCTGCACCTCAAGAAGCAAATTGCACGACTAGCCAGTGAAGAACAAGTCCGATGCCCTGGTAAAGGTTGCACCGCGATGTATCCAGAGTTCGAGAAACTTAAAGGCCACATCCATCTATCCCATGGCGTCCAGTTGTAACTCACATAGCAGTTATTTTATGTGTTGATGGCTTTCCCGTTAATTTCTTTGGCACCTTCATTATATTTTCTCTCTTTTGTAAGGGCGTTTGTTTTTATTTTTTACTCCCTCGTTGAAGATGTTTCTTTTTTGGGAACGTCACTTTCATTATATTACAGAGAAGTTCTTTTGTAAGGTAGTCAATATATTATATTTCTTAATCTAAGGCCAATGTGCCCACGGGATGAGTGCACGGCACCCCGGAATGAGTGTACAGCCCCGGGTTGTGGCGCATCACATCCGTGAGCACGTCTCATTAAGGTTTAAGGAAAGTCCTGCGGTAGCGCGTGTTCGGTTGTTCCCGCACCCCCAGTCGCGGAGGTCTGAGAGGTGTTTGGCTGTGTGGCGTGGGTTGGGGGTCCTTCGCTACACGGCCAAACTTGCGACCGGGGTGTATGTGGTAACCAAGGCGAATTAGCCATAGATTCGTGCAGATACATACTTTTTCTCACCCGGAATTAAGATTTAGCGAAGCGGGACAGCGGACCCCCCGACCACAGCCCGGTACCAAGAGTACATGTACGAAACGCACGCTCTTTTCTATTAATGATCTAAAGTACATACTCTACTCGCTAATATAAACTACACGTGACCTCTCCCGCCATTCCAACTCACACGCCGCCCTTCCCCTCCCAGCCGCCACACCCTCCCAGCCACCACCCGCTCACCACACCCTCCACACCCGAACTCTCAACCAACCCTCAACTCTCACCACCTCACGCACCACACACGCAGCCCTCGCCCTTCCACCCTCTACACCATCTCCCCCTACCTCCCCCTTCCTCACCCGCACACACAGCACCCCACAAACATAGCACCGCACTGCATCGCACCACGGGCCGCCACAGCCGTCGCCAACCACCACCCTCGCCAGTTTCTCATGAAACGATTAGCGCGCTCATTACAAAGGAATGGGAGCACTTGCATTCTAGGTTACTTCTGAATCTACACCAGCGCAGCATAAGCGAGATGCCGATTTTGCTACTGGTTCTGGTGCTGTGGCGGTTGGAAGGCTGGATGTGGCGGTTGTGGCGGTTGCGGTGGGTGTGACAGGTGCGACGGACTGTTATGAGTGGGAGTCGGGTAAGGGGGGGGTAGTGGAAATGGTGTAGGGTGGTTAGTGGTGAGTGGTGGGTGTGTAATGGGGGGTGGAGTAGGGAGAAAAGGGGGGGGGCCGGGGTGGATGGGTGGATGGGTGGAGGGTTAGGGTACTTACAGACAGACTAGCAAAAACAAAGCGCGAGAAAAAGATCACGTATATATACCTTAACATAGTCAGACGTCCCTCTTAGTTTCCCTCTGTTTTCATACTCCTCTATTTATCGATCCGGATCTACCCACATTAGCACCCTACGCATCCTCCCAACAAAACCAGGAAAGACTTACCGTCACGATCCAGTCTCTCCTGCCTTCTCCTAGCCCTCAGCTTCTCAGCCTCCGGCCCGACCGTCTTCCCCCTTAACACCGTCCCCTTCTTCGACACCAGCTTCAACATCCCCTGCGCAGCCCCAGTTGCCGGCGGCGGCGCGAACGACAAGGCAGTCACATCAAAGTTGAATGCCATGGCCCTTGGCGTGGGTGCGGGCACGGGCGGCGTCTTCTTCTTCTCCGGCACTGGTTTACCGCGCTCCTCTGCCACACCCGCTTCGTACTCCTCATCGAAGCTGTCGTAGCCCGCGTCTGCCGGTGGGGGCGTAGGCGGCTTGACGGGCTGTGGCGTTGGCTTTGACTTTGGCTTTGGCTTTGGCACTGCACGGGGTTGTGGGTGGGGAGGGGGTATGGTGGCCATGATGGGTGCCATGGGGGTGTAGGATCTGCCCACTTGGACATGGTCCGGGAGAGGCTCGAGCCAGAGGGCGACCTTCTTGCCGGAGGCTAGGGCGCGGATGCCGCCTGTGGGAGGTGAGATTGCTTGTGCTGTCGGGCAGGGCCGCGGCGGCGGCATCGGTATGGGGCTGTGGGTGCGTGTTCGGGGACAGGTACATGTGCGGGAACAAAAACAGGAACATCAACGGGCACTACCGGCTGGAAGGGTGGAGGAGCCGTCGTGGCGGGCGCTAATACATTCGCCATCGACATGACCGTCACGTCGCAGGGTGGAGGAGCCGTCGTGGCGGGCGCTAATACATTCGCCATCGACATGACCGTCACGTCGCAGGGTGAAGGAGCCATCGTGGCGGGCGCCAACACATGGGCCATCGACATGACCGTCACGTCGCGGGGTGGAGGAGCCATCGTGGCGGGCGCTAATACATTCGCCATCGACATCATAGCATCCGGGGCTGGTAGTGGGGTATCAATGTCCATGGTGTCATCAATGTCCATGGGGTCATCAATGTCCATGGAGTCGAGCTTTCCGCCTGCCGCCGCTCCCATCCGCACGCGTAGCTGCTTGTATATCTTAGATATAGCTTTGAATTTTATATTTTGTTTGGACTTCAGTTGCATGGGTTTAGCTTTGCTCTGTCCTTTGCCCTTGCCCTTGCCCTTGCTGTATATATGGGTACGGAGGTGCTTGCTTGCGCGTTGCCGTAATAACATTGACGCGGTGTGAGGTGAACGTGCGATATAGGTCCACAACGACAGCAGGGAGTCGACTGCGGGCGTGGGGGGCGTGGGGGGCGTGGGTGTAGCGGCTTTTGGGGGCGATTCAAGAATTTTGCTGGGCACGGGTGTTTGGGGAAATGGCCAGTGCTAAGCGATAATTCTGTAGCGTTTAAACTGATGATATTGTAAACCGGATTCCCTTGACTTGATGGTTGATGATACCCTCAAGTCTTCGCAGAATCCTGCCCTATTTATACATGTGGGAACCTATGCCAAGGCCCGCTTTCTGATACTAACTGATACAACGATAAATAGAATAAGGTCAAGCTCCCGAAGATAACCCAGATAGAAAAGCGCCCCCGCATAGTTCCGTCCTCCATTCTAATTCCGACACGTAACCATGAACCTTGCAATTGCCAGTCATCGGGTCGCACCATACTATTGTCCTAGACCTACTTCCCTAAGTAGAACAGCCTGCAGCCGTAAGCCCCGCTTCCCATTCTATTCCGGGTGAGACACCCAATAGTAAACGTGCCGTCACAATAGTATGGTACTAGTGTGGTAACACCGCGTGCCCCCACACCACCCGATACCTTTCTATGCTTGTCCTTCCGTTACCCGACCGTCTTCGCATCACAACCCGTCACTCGTATTCCTCACTGTCCTTCGCCTCTAGGACAGTGCTCCGTAGTTCCTGTAACACTACTCCCCCTTCCTAGACGTCGCCCTCGACCGTTAAAACCCTTCTATGATAAAAACCCTGTGGGAAAAGTCATAGAGTAGGGAAAGGTATCGAGCTTAGTCCCGCCTGTTCCGTTGTCGCTTATGAGCCCGTTCGTCATCGATCGCTGGGCCTCGACTTCGCGTATGGGGTCGTATGTTGGAGGTTGGCTGGAAGTTCTCATCCGCCAATGCCTCCTGTGGCTCGGGTGTTGCTAGTCGTTTTCGTGTGTTTTGCTGCCTAGTGGGATCCGGATCCTCGCGATAGGGCCGTAGCAGCATCTCGTGGAATACGTCATGAACCCTCCATTCTACCGGGAGTTCAAGGCGGTAAGCCCGATTGCCTATCACCGCTGAGATCGTGAATGGTCCTGTAAATTTATCTGACCACTTGGAGTATCCGCCTAGGTTCCGAGTATCCAGCAAGACCTTCTGACCGATAGTGAACCGCTGTACTGCTGGTCCTGGCTTTGACGCCATCCTGTCGAAGGTCTTCTGTAGCGTATCTCTTGCTAACTCATGAGCCGTGATGATCTCGTCCAAGTAGTTGTTCCCGTTGGCATCTAAACGTTCGATCTCCGCATCTGTAGGCCAGTCCGTCCGAGGGTGGAAGCCATAGTTGTAGTAGAACGGTGATTGTCCCGTCGACGTGTGCTTCGCATTATTATAGGCGTATTCGCAGATAGGTAACAGGTCCTTCCACTTCTTGCCTGTTCCTGCCGTATATGCCCGGATATAACCTTCCATGTGCTGGTTGGTCCGTTCTGTCTGGCCATCGGTCTGCGGGTGGAATGATGTGGAGAGTCTTCTACGAATTCCCAATCTTTCCGTGATGGCCGCCCAGAATGCTGACACGAACTGGGTTCCTCTATCAGAAACGATGCTCCTAGGAAGTCCGTGAAAACGCCAGATGTCCTTGACAAATGCGTTAGCGGTCTGTTCCGCGTTGATTCCCGTCATTGGAATGAAGTGAGCCATTTTCGTAAAACGATCCACAACTACCAATACGTTACGGAATCCTGATTTCTCCTTTGGCATTTCTACTACGAAATCCATCGAGATATCAGTCCAAGGTGTGGTGGCTAACTCTAGGGGTTGAGGGAGTGACAAGTGTCTCCGACGTTGCTTGGCTCTCTGGCATACATCGCAGGTCTTGACAAAGTTGGCTACATCCGTGGACATTCCTGGCCACCAGTAGTTCCTATCAATCAACTCAAGGGTTTTATCCCTTCCTAGATGCCCCGCTACGGGTCGATCATGATGTTCTTCGATGACCTGCTTGACCGCGTAGCCTGGTACTACCCATCGACCATCGTGGGTGGGGTCATTCGAATCGGGACTCCATTCAGCGGCAGGCTCTACCTTTACGATAGCAGCCTCCGGTGGTCCGAAGATCTCAAGGTTTGAGTCAGGGAGGTGTTCATCCGGAACCATCCTCCGAACCCATCGTCTTTCCTGTTCATACCAACCCTGTAGTGGCTGAGGCAGCTCTACGCTCGGTATGTCGTACCACTGATCCAACTGATTCCATTCCTCTTCGGGGTTGCCAATCACTTCAGGCCCAGTTTCTACGCTAGTCCGTGATTTTCTGACAAACTGTTCTGCATTGAGTAGCTGTTTTACGGGCTGCTCACGCATTACTCCCCCTTCCATCGCGAACTCCGGACGCCTTGTAAGTGCATCTGGCTTGCCGTTCTTTTCGCCTGGTCGGTAATGGATTTTGAAGCGAAAAGGTGCTATCTTCTCGGCCCATCTGGCTTGTCTTCTCGACAACTTCTTGGTCGTTGTGAAATACTGCAGGTTTTGGTGATCCGAATGTATCTGGATAGGGATGTCCGTCCCTTCCAGCCAGTGTCTCCAAGTCAAGAGAGCAGAGACTATTGCGAGCATCTCCTTGTCATAGATCTCGTAGTTGACCTCTGCCTCGTTGAACTTGCGAGAGTGGTAAGCTACCGGATGTAGGATACCGTCCTCGAACACCTGAGAGAGTACTGCGGCCTCGGCCCAATCACTCGCATCAGTCTCCACGATTGCTTCGCGGTGTTCGTCATAGTGTCGGAGTATTGGAGCAGACGTAAATCTCCTTTTGAGCTCGTCGAACGCGTCTTGCTGTTCCCTGCCCCATTTCCATACAGAACCTTTCTTCAGGAGATCGGTCATGGGTCTGCAAACTTCAGAATATCGGTGGATAAACCGTCTTAGGAAATTGGCGAATCCGAGGAAGCACTGGAGTTCCTTGACCTTGGTTGGGGCTAACCAGCCTTCGATCGCCTGGACTTTCTTTGGTGATACTCGGTTCCCTTTTCCTGATAGTATGAATCCCAGGAACTCTACCTCCTGTTGATACCATTCCGTTTTTTCGAGGTTTCCGTATAGGTGGTGTCGTCGCAGTCGCTCCAAAACTTCCCGTACAAGAGTCATATGCTCTTCTCTAGTCTTTGAATACATTAAGATGTCATCCAGGTAGACTACTACGCCTTGATCTAGAAGATCCTTGAATATGGTATTGACCATGACCTGAAACGACGCAGGCGCATTGGTCAAGCCGAAAGGCATTACCCTATATTCGAAGAGGCCGTATTTTGTTCGGAAAGCGGTTTTCCATTCTTCGCCCTTGGCAATCCTAATCAGATTATAGCCATTTTTCAGGTCTATTTTCGTGAAGTAGAGTGCTCCTTTCGTTGCGTCGGCTAGCTCATTCATGAGCGGCAGTGGGTAACGGTTCTTGATCGTGATCCCATTCAAGCCACGAAAGTCGACACATAGCCGAAGCTTGCCATTAGCTTTCGGAACGAACAGGACGGGTGCCGCTGCTGGGCTAGTGGAGGGGACTACTTTGCCGGAGGGCAGATTTTCATCCAAATACTCCCGGAGTGCCTTATCTTCAGGTGGGGAGAGCGAATAAATCGGCCCCCATGGAGGCTGCTTTCCTTCCATAAGAGGAATGGTATGATCCCATTCAGAGTGGTCAGGTAGTCGAGCGGCTCCTTCCTTGGAGAACACGTCGGCATATTCCTGAAACTCCACCGGTATAGCACTAACGAGAGCCTCGTTTACCGATGCTCTTGCCCAAAAGGGGTGTTGCTCGATCGTCATCTGCTTCTTGGGTGACGCCCTCAACAGCCTGATGACCAGCTCTTCTGGGTCTTGATCGTATATGTCCTCGACTGATACGAAGCACCCATTGATTATACAGTTGTTGCTATGGAAGCTAACACTGTTGCGTCCCCAATGGATGGTTGGTTGATGCTCCTTGAGCCATCGATGTGGTATGACGAGGTCCTCTCCTGCAAACGAGCCAACCTCACAGGTGATAGCCCTGTCTAGATGGTTGCCGATGCGGAGGGTGAGAGGTTGAGTGATGTGGATGCCGGAGTTGGGCATAGGGGTACCATCGGCCTGTCTGATGATGAGAGGCTTTGGTCGAGGTTGAGTAGGTATTTTTTCACGGTGGATACAGTCCCAGGACATGATCCAGTCCTCCGTGCCACTGTCTAGGAGTGCGTTGACTGTTGCGACATGTTTGGTACTAGTGGCGGGATGGTCCCAAGAGATTTCGATCTCAAGACGAGTTTCTTGTGTGTTGGAAGACATGCTTGTGTATTGGTTTGATAAAAAGTTTTGGTATTGGTTTCAGGTGTGGGTTGGTTCGATGTTTTTTTCTGTTGAGCGCGGGGTGAGGGGGTTTATATAGAGAGTTCGAGTGTTTGATGAAGATCATGGTACAACACTTACGTACCAGGCGTTTTCGGGGTGTAACCCCATCCTCAGAGTGTGTGTAAAGAGAATTGAATTTCCGCGCGTATAACGAAACAAATATAGAAGATCCCATAGCCAACCGATAACCGTAATACAGAAAAACCTTGTTTTTTCATGACCCAAAAATAGAAAGAAACCATAACGCAACATGAGATACCGAAAAATAGAAATACCCAATCAATTTTGATCCTCCAAAGTTGTAATCCTTGCCCTAAATGCCTCATTCTGGGGGCCCAATTTCCGCTTCTTTTCACCCTCCCTTCCGTGGTCCTTTCCTCCGGAAGGATACCGTTTCCTCTTCAGGTCGGTTAACCTGACCTTACTCGTCGCCACGCAATCTTTCGCGAAGTGGTTATCTCTACCACAACGGAAACACTTCCCTTCTTTTTGCCACTTCTCCTTCTCGTCCTTGGTGACACCTAAGTCATCCGAGGGCTTGGAGTTGTGCGCTGGCGCGGAGAAAGTTTTCCGAGGTGCAGGGTTGCGTGATTTTCGCCGTTCCGATTTTTCCTCCC